CCCAAGACGCTGACCAAGTTCACACCTTTGTCCGTGCATGAAGACGAGTTTCGACTCGACAGTCTGTCTATCATGCAACAGAGTCACGACCCAATTGTCAGGACACCTACCTTGCATAAGTTTTGGGAGGGATTCGGCGAATTCCCCCCGTATTATTTCGTTCGGGTGGAGGAAGTGATGTTTTGGGAGGTGATCAAGAAACAGCTCTTCGGGAAGGATCGCATTGTGATAGTAGGCTCACCAGGAGTCGGAAAGTTTTGCTTTCTCATGCTTATTGCATTTTACCTGGCGTGCATCAAGAGGAAGAAGTTGGTTGTCATACGTCGCTTGAAAGAACTCAATCTTAAGAACGCGGTGGTGTTTTTCGATGGCCAAGGATCGTACGCACGACTAACAAATCTCTCACCGATTGATATCGTGGCCATCCGTGACCAAGTAACTCCCAAGTCGGTCGAGGGTGAGGTCGACGAAAAGGAGGCGCCAATTGTTCTGGTTGATGGTTTTAACCAGGCAGAAGTGAACGACACGAAGAACGAGTATGCTCCTTTTCATTTCCTTGCAACATCGTGTCAGTTTGATGTGAAACATGACGACCGCTCACGCCTTGTGGTTTTGCCGGCGTGGCGTGATGCCGACCTGTTGCAGTACGCGAAGTTAATGAACTGGGTTATCGAAACTGGTCTGCGCCAGATCAAGCAGCAGGATACACCATTTCCAAAACTTGTTAAGGAGCAGTACTTCTATAGTGGCGGCAGTTTGCTCGAGTTCTGTAAAACACGGAGCTCGCTTGAAGAGCGTGTAGTGAGAGAATGCCGTGCCGTGGAAAATGATCAAGCGTTTGAGTTGGTGTACAACTATGGTGGGGGACAAAGCAAGAGCCAAGTGGATCGTTTGCGGCGTCACTACATCACTGACTGCAACCGAGAAGTGGAATACCATGACAGTCGATGGTGGAAGCTATCTGTGGATTCCGGATATGTGCTGAGCCAGTTGGGGCGGAAAATTGATACGGACAAGCAGCTAGAGGTTTACAAGTATGCAAAATCTGTTGGTGCCGGTTTCCATGGCGTCGCGTACGAACAATTGCTTCACAACGCAGTTCGTG